TGACGCTTTCTTTACTACAAGAACATTTCATTACTTAACTATCCCGAGCTGATCATGAGGATTCCTACCTGATTTTACAGCAATTTTTTTAGTTTTTTATTTGCAGGTATTTTTTTTCCTTTTACTCTTCGTCTGGTCAATAACTATTTAATTTTTGATTATAGTTACCAACCTAAAGTAAATAGGTTAATGAGCACCAGAGTTAGCCAGGTACTTCTGACTCTGAATTCATCCATCATGGCTATGTACTGCGAGCCGGAAATGACGGAGTCGGCAGCCGATAACCTAAAGAAATGGTTGAAGAACGTCGTTTACATTAGTTTATGCAGTCAAAACTCCTCTGCCTAGTTTTAGTTGTTCAAAAGGTCGATTAGCATTAAGAGAGCGTTAAGTTTTCATCACGGTTTCTTACTTTTTCTTTTGTTCAAAAGCATTTTCTCAGTTAATTTTCTCTGTTCCTAAATTAAGTTCACTTAATTAGAAGAAACTGAATTCGCTTTATACGCGTTGCATATCTGGTTTCAAATTTGGCATAACCCTGGGTAAACCCAGCTTTGAACAATTCAGCCCAGAAAACACATACCAAAGGGACACGAGCCAAGGGTCGGCACGAGCCAAGGGTCTGCCGTTATGAAGTTGTAATAGAGTTAGACGGAGGAAGGTCCTTATACTTTGGAAACCCGGATGGGAACTGTCCGTAATTGAATGGAAACAGGCCCTCCTGTTAGATTCCGTGTTGGCCTTAGGAGTTAAGGAGCCAACATGGGGCCCGCGCAGTTTCTCATGATCTGAAGTTGCGAAAATATAATCAGCACCAGAGAATTTATAATTTTGTTTTGAACGTCTCGCTTCCTTTCCTTTCTAATATTTCTGCAGTTAGCTAAAAGTGCTAAATACAGAATAAATATAAAATGAAACATCCTTGTTTAATCACATGTAAATCTTTATCTTCCTTCATCGAAGACTAGACGTGGCGAATGGACTAAGCGATTAGTTGCCAGACCCAAAAGATCGAGGCATTTGCAACAATTAATAATGCTTTCACGCGCGCACGTACTCTGTCCGCTCTTTTAGGTTTAGACTGTAAGCTACTGTACCCGCGTCATAGTAGTAAGTTGTTTAACAAATAATTATCGAACACTAGCTTACCCTTTTGGAAATTTCTGTGATGACTTAAAAAGTTGCTGCTTTAATTGCCTGCGGGCAGTGATTGAGTCATACACTCGTAGTAACACAAACCATGACAAACGGTAAGCATAAGTTATAATATTCAAAGTTCTGGACGTTCTGCAGTTGGCAAACGATTAAGCTTTTTTCGCGGTAGAAAACTTGCCAGTGCCACAAAAAGCAAAAGGCTCATCCTCCGTGAAGTTCCGGTCTGTGACTAAAAAAACACAACCAAACACTGTCCAAGGGAAGGAAAAATACGCCGACGGTGATTTTTGCTTGAAACACTTGCACGGACGTTTGTAATGTTCCGCCTCTCAATCTGATGTTCTCAGTGGTTCGTAGAGGTTATAGAGACGAGGATTACTGAAAACGGGTTTAAATTTTATCTTTGAGAGCCAAATTCTATACTCGGTATAATTAAGAAAACGGTACGCTCTTGAATTACATAAAAAATTTCACGGTGACCTCTATTAAGAGCCGTATTAAATAGATGCAAAATCTCACCTCCAAAGCCTTACGTGCGACTGAAATCAACACTGGGAGCGAATTCCTCCACTACACATGAATCATACTCCCTAGTTTTCGAAACCGTTCTTTCTCCAATCACATGCCTTTTTATGAGCAGATCGCCTTCTAAACTTTAATGTTTTGCAATGGGCGTATTAAGATTACGCCGAAGAAAATCGTGCAGACGGCAACTGAAAGAGTGACCCAGAATTAGTACAAGGATTTGTGGTATTAAGAAAAAAGAAATTAAAGAGAATACAAACAAAGGAAGTACTTGCCTGAAAAGATTTTGCTCGTGATCTGACCGAGGTTGATGACCAGGGAGAGAAGGAAGAATTACTGGGGTAAATACCTCAATATACCTACTTAACCCTGACACCGCCCTATAACCTTGTTGGCTAGATTTGCAATACCTGGTAACGATCAGAACAAAGGGTCTAATCACACCCCATCCATCATCGCTTCAATTGACAAAGAAAATTCCCACCCGCGAAATTTCGCCAATGCGAATTTTCATTCTGGCGAAATTTCGCCAGTGGCGAACTTTCATCGAGTTTTCGCGAGAACAAAAGACGAAATTTGGCGAATTTCGCTTTCATTAATTTTGCACAGAACTGTTGTACATAAACAGCTCCAGCCAGGCGCAATCAAACTGTATATAGGATTATTGGGTAAGGTTTTGGATTTGTCCAGAGCATCCATTACCTGTTCGGCTGGATAGGAGTATCGCAGACTCTAGGAACCAGATTGCGAAAGCCATCTGTTCGTTTGCTCGATCCTTAAGTCAACACTTCAAAAGAATTTCAGTTCCTTTTTCTTAGCTTGCTAGAATTGCTTTTTTCTGGTCAATCAATAAAGGGAATAAGCCAGTTGCTCACTTCGAAGCATTCTTACCTTACACCGAAAAGTCTTTGTTATCAACCATCACGATAATTGCTCGTTTGAGTAAAGTGGTCACAGGGCTTTCGAAAGAACTTTAAACGGTGGTCACAAGACAACGGAAGCTAGCTGAGGAACGAATAGGAAGAGAAGCGCCATCGCAGAAAACATGCTGAGAGAGTTCGTTGACATGACCGTTGTCTCGGACACTTCGCATACCGTCAGCCGGCCCTGCTGCTTAAAAAATATTCGCAGGATCAGCCAGACACCAAAGAAGCTGCACTAAGAGAAACTAACTCAAGCAAGCATCTAAGACTGTCGGTACCGGTCAGGACGACAAGACTATCTCTATTCTAGTTTTATAAGCTTACTTTGGTTTTCATTAACTACTTTTGATTTTCGAAAGTCTAGAACAGCAGCTCAATTAGGAAGAAGACCTACGTAGCACAGCTTCACGTGCTATCCGCATTAATCCTATCGAACGAGCAAATGGCCTTCAGCTACATATCGTGTACAATTGTATTTACGTATTAAACTGCCATGTGTAAATAAGAACAAAAGGCACGAGATTCTGCTACTGGAAAGTTTTGATTGGGAGCACTAAAAATGGGAAGTTAAACGTGCATGGCTATGTTTAGCCTCCCACGCAGGCGTTTTAGGGGAACCCGTATTTCGTCCCTCCCCACAAGGGGGAGGGAAGAAATACGAGCTCCCCTAAAAACCCCTGCGTGGGAGGCTAGGCTATGTATGGACTGAGATAGGTGTATTTTCTCCCTCACATAACATAATTTGGGCCGCGAAGTTCATTGTGTTGCTCGAGGGCCTCCACAAACAGTATTAACTGGAGAGAACGGCAACATTTATGCCTTCAACATTAATTATTAAATATAGAAAATAATATTATTAAAATTTTCTCTCCTCTTTTTTGCCAGTCTATAAGTTTTCAATTATCTAATTTCTTTCATTCTTTCAGTGGTTGTTTTTGCGTGTTCGCTCGTCTCCCTTACACAACTGCTTTGAATTCCTCTTTTGACTGTCACTCTTCGAAGAACAATGCTTATAAACTAAGATTAAATCTGCCTTACAGGTAGAAAAGGGAATTTTACCTTATTCTGGCGAAGTGGAAAACACGTTTTCCGTGTTCAAAATTCTTTATGAATGTTCCATTACTTGGCAATAGTTTTCAAGCGTTATGTCTGTAGACAAAATGAAGTTCATTCGAACATGTAGTGTGAAGAACTCCGATAAATAGTTAAATTGCTGGTTATTGATGCTTGAACAGGTCCTCTGTCAATTTCAAATGGATTTTGAATGGAATTGGGGTTTGTCTGTGTTTTAACACAATTATGTCTTCAAACAATAAAATCGCGTTCTCAGACCAAACTAGATTCGGTCCCTTCGGGATTTTTCCGGTCCGGTCTAAGCAGTCCAGTCTAAGCGGTCCCTTCGGGATTTTCTGTCTTTACGTCATCCTAACCGCTTCGTACTTGCGGGTGCAAACAATAGAAACGCTATCATTACTTACCGATTCCTTGCGGCCCCTGTTCAAGCAAATCGAGATTTTTTCTGTCATACTGACTGTATATTTCAACTGTAAGTCGCTTTCCTTAAAACATGCGCGAGTTAGTAGAGTGCCTCCCCGGCATTTAGCTTTCTGGGCGAAATCCCAGTGGGGCCAATAATGTCATAGGATGAATTGCTATGAATTATGCTAAACAAGAGGTTTTCTATAAAAGATCGAGAATAGAATGAAACACCAGGCAAGATTGAAGCGCATTTCTAGATGTAGATAAACTCTTTTCAAACTGACAAAAGTAGCGTGAAGGTCAGCGCGGTCCCATAGCTGACCGTGTCCCTTTAAATAACTGGCCCTTAGTATCAGGCCCCACGGGAAACCAGCTGTTTTTTTTTTTTTTTTATCTCAAGTCATGATGTTTCCCAAAGACTGACTTACATTAACTGTATAATACAACGCGATGTTTTGACATCCATTGAAGACGCTATTTGAAGCACATTCAGTCGTTTACAATGAGTACCGATCAACTATGTAAAATGAATTACACTGATTAAAATATCACAACCATACTCTGTTCTTCTAGGACAATAAGCTTAAATTCTACATCCAACACTCCTGTAGAAAATCGTTGCACCTCTTTTCTATTTTTTCTATTCTTTTTCTTTTCCGCCTAGACCTCCTGATGCGGCATCACCCGATTCAATCTTCCAAAAACTCGTTTTTCCATGTTTTCAGCTTGCGTATTGCTTTTCCTAAACACCAGTTGAATAAACGCAACACGAAACTGTCTTATTCTTACACAGTATATAATTGGGTTTAAGATCGAGTTGAAAATTGCCACAATTATGCCTGCAAAAAGGGCGATGTATGCTAAATTGACTGATTTGATGACAGACTTTGATATTAGCGTTCGTGCTAATATTAAAGGTCAATAACACAGTATTAAAAAGATAAGTACTGTTGTTGTCAGTTTAAAAGCTTTTTTCTCCTTTAAGAATTTCTCTCTGGCTTCCAACGATACTTGCTGGGCAGCGATTTCTTTTTGATGCCAACGTGTTTCGTAGTAAAGCACGATTTGACAGTAGAAGATAATGGCCATGCATAAAAACATGGTACTATTGTCAACAGTAAGATAAAGGTTATTATCAGCGAAAGATAAAGGCACTGTTAATAGAATGACTGTAATCCACAGGAGAACGGACAAAAAAGTGAGGCGATTCTCGGTGACGATGGTTTCGTACTGCAGGGGATGTTTAATGGCAATATACCTCTCTACGTTCATCATGGCCAAGTGAGAGAGTGATGCAATACCTAATACCCTTAAAGCGATTCTTGATAACAGTGTTCTTATACAGTACGTACTAGAGGTGTTTCCTTGCAGTTCTGCGGTCACCCAAGAGACAAAAAGAGGTTGGCCAATCACTCCCATTATCCCATCAGTAGAGGACAAACAGGCGATCGCTAAATTAGACTTGGTTTTTACTCGGTGCTTGGTTTTCACAGCGATTATGATCAGGGCATTTAGAGCAAATGTAATAGGAGAAATAATGATGCTGTTGACGGTTATGAAGACAAGCCAGGCGTAGGCCTCCGGGGTAGTATGATCCAGAGATCCTTACAAGATGGCCTGATCACATCCATGAACAGTCCTCGCCGCGTCTGAGGCTGAACTTGAATTCATATCTTTTCTTTAGCTTGGCTTGATCAAGTTTATTTTTTGTAGCTATGGCACAACTAACTGTTGGGGCGACAATCTATGACTCGCTTTATGTGCTTTCAAGGATTACTTTTCTAGCAGGTATTGATGAATACAGCACAAATGGCGGCAAATTAATCTTTTTCAAGGTCCTGATCGTCGTTAATGGAAGGATTTCTCCATTATAAGCAGAAATATGGTTTTAATTGCATCTAAATCTAAGATTCGCCAATCGAGTTGGACGGGAAATTATATAAGATTTTTTATTTAAAGACGTTAATCCATGAAGGCTAACGAACCAATCAAACAAAGCTGCGACAGAGCTTTCGTGGGATTTGTAACTTCAAGTCGGTTTGTGTGAACTATCCATTAAATTAAGTGATAGCAAAACTTGATCTTTTTAGAGCGGTTCTCACTTGACTGTCGAAAGGGATTGGTTTTGGTTTTGGTTTTGGTTTTGGTTTTACTACGCCCTTTAGTTGGCTAGTGTATTGACTTTGGTTTTGGTTTTACGACAGTCAAGTGAAAACCGCTCTAATAAGCCCCTGCTAGGTGTTTGGTGAAACGTTTTTTGCACAAACTAAATATGACTAAAGTTGAGTTAATTGATTTTGCAAATGACAACAGTAGACAATTTTTATAATTTTTGCAATTTTTACTAGGTAAATATCCGTTAAAAATCACTGTAAACGACAATTAACAAATGGCATTCATCTATGCTAAAAATCAAGCCTTGTCTCACAAAATTCTAATAGTTGCGTAATTTATTCCACTAAAAAATGGTGAAAATTATTAAAAGGAGATTTCCACGATATTCAAAATCGAATATGGTTTATATTTTTTTTTTACAAGGACAAGAGTCATACATCAGGTAAGTCAATGAGATACGGCAACTTTCAAAAACTATTCTGTGCATTCTGCTTATGTGCAGCTGTGAATTTACATGTACGTCCCCACGACTCACGCAAAACGATGAACCTTTACATACCCTTTACGATACTTGACATAGTATGTGAGGCAGCACTTGAATTTATATCCGTCTTTTCACTTCCCTGGTTTATTCAGTGAATTTGTATTTTGTAGGTTTGAGGTACGAATGTGTTAGATGTAGCTAATTATCGCTCTTAGGATTATCTTTTATACTTGAGCTTGTGTTCCTCTAAAATAATTAAACTGGAGATTTTTAAGATATTAGTAACAATATTTTTATATTTGCTTCTAAAAATAAAATTCATCAAATAAGTTAGATAAGGGATTACGGGGAAGATAAAAGGAAAGACAGTAATTGTTTCGGCATCGAGCTATCAATTTATTTATCATGCAAGGGCAAGTTACATTTAACAATCGCTTGCTACATACTTCATCAAGCAATAATATTGTTTGTCTGTAATCAACATTTGAAAGAGACGCCTTTTCGTAGAACGTTACAATAAGAAGCCAGAGTTTTCACCGCAAGACTGGATAGAACTATATCTACCTATAACTACACAAATATGGCTATAACTAGAAATACGTTTATCGCAGTGACCTCGCGACGCTGATAACGGGCCAGAAGAAAGAGCAAAAGGGAAAAAATGTAACTAATAAAAATTGCTTCAGCGAGAGTCGAACATCGGACCATCAGCACATAAGGTAGATTCCTAGACCACTACGCCACGTTACCAAACGTGTTTTCCTCACCGATAGTTTATTATATTTGAGCATTTTCCTGTGAAACTCTGCCTGACATACCCTGTTAGAAGCTGGCGGAGCTTTATTTATCATGAATTTAAAAATACATTTGATCAAAAATTAGCTTAATCGCCTATTTTGAAGCTTGTTTGCATTATTTCCAAAAAAAAAAAAAAAAACAAAAAACATTCACCATCGGGTTCAACGGCCCGAGCGATGTGTCATGGCTTGCGCAAAGCAAGATTTTGACGATCAAAGCCAAACTGAAAGGCACTTCCGACTAACAAACATATCCCTCGACCTAAGCCGTAAGATCGTCTGCTAAGTGAGACTCAGTGACACATGTTCTTTTATCTCAATTTTCGTCCTTTATTTATTTATTTGAAGCTACTGCCCCATATTGCTTCAATATTCTCTGAAAAATACTTTTGCCATCGTCGAACCTTATCGACAAAAGCATTTTTTGATCACACAAACGGCCGCAACAACTGTCAAAAGAACGGACCGTTCTTCTCGCTGGAGTGGAGTTTCCTTCGGTGGTAAATCTCCCTCGGCGAGGATTTCCAGCCACTTGTTGATTAGAACGTTTTTGTGTTTGCTGTTCTCTTTCATTTGCCTGTGAAACTGGTTGCGATTCACCGATAGTGACATCATTTGACAGAATGAATAAAGTATCATAGTGCAGCATGAAATTTGCGATCATTCGTACTTGAAGTCGTGTTCCCTGGTAACCCTGAAATGCAACTTGACGTCATACTGGATGACGCCAACTGCGGACATCCAAGAGATATATAGAAACATTTCCAACTCGAGTTTTCGCCTGGCTGTGCAATCCACGCGATAGGCGCGCTGAGCGCGCGACTAGTTAGTAAATTTTAAAGAGCCTTGAACGACCCAAAAGATTCCGCGTGCGCAACGCAAGGAAGGCTATCAGCATTAGTGCAACTAACATTAGTATTTAGCAAATTAGTGAATAGCAATTTTCGCGCGTTTTGATTGGCTCCCGTAACTCGGATATCCTTGGCTATTCACTGTTTTGCGACCGGAGCCAAGATGGCGTCTCGTATTAAGACATTTTCAGTAGATGAAATTTGAGCACGGAAGTTTTTCTTCTGACTGGGCTTCTCAATATCCGTTAAAAATCACTGTAAACGACAATTAACAAATGGCATTCATCTATGCTAAAAATCAAGCCTTGTCTCACAAAATTCTAATAGTTGCGTAATTTATTCCACTAAAAAATGGTGAAAATTATTAAAAAGAGATTTCCACGATATTCAAAATCGAATATGGTTTATTTTTTTTTTCCAAGGACAAGAGTCATACATCAGGCAAGTCAATGAGATACGGCAACTTTCAAAAACTATTCTGTGCATTCTGCTCATGTGCAGCTGTGAATTTAAATGTACGTCCCCGCGACTCACGCGAAACGGTGAACCTTTACATACCCTTTACGATACTTAACATAGTATGTGAGGCAGCACTTGAATTTATATCCGTCTTTTCACTTCCCTGGTTTATTCAGTGAATTTGTATTTTGTAGGTTTGAGGTACGAATGTGTTAGATGTAGCTAATTATCGCTCTTAGGATTTATCTTTAATTTATACTTGAGCTTAGCGAAAAGTTGGTCTTCGTTAGTAATGTGTTCCTCTAAAATAATTAAACTGGAGATTTTTACGATATTAGTAACAATTTTTTTTATTTGCTTCTAAAAAATAAAATTCATCGAATAAGTTGGATAAGGGATTACGGGGAAGATAAAAGGAAAGTCAGTAATTGTTTCGACAACGAGCTATATATCATGCAAGGGCAAGTTACAATTAACAATCGCTTGCTACATATTTCATCAAGCAATAATATTGTTTGTCTGTAATCAACATTTGAAAGAGACGCCTTTTCGTACAACGTTACAATAAGAAGCTAGAGTTTTCACCGCAAGGCTAGATAGAACTATACCTACCTATAACTACACAAATATGGGTATAACTAGAAATACGTTTATCGCAGTGACCTGGCGACGCTGATAACGGGCCAGAAGAGAAAGCAAAAGGGAAAAAAAATGTGACTAATAAAAATTGCTTCAGCGAGAGTCGAACATGGGACCATCAGTACATAAGGTCCATTCCTAGACCACTACGCCACGTTACCAACCGTGTTTTTGTCACTGAAAGTTTACTATATTTAGAGCATTTTCCTGTGAAACTCTGTCTGACATACCCTGTTAGAAGCTGGCAGAGCTTTATTTATCATGAATGTAAAAATACATTCGATCAAAAATTAGCTTAATCGCCTATTTTGAAGCTTGTTTGCGTTATTTCCAAAAAAAGAAAAAAAACAATCACTATCGGGTTCAACGGCCCGAGCGATGTGTCATGGCACGCGCAAAGCAAAATTTTGACGGTAAAAGCCAAACTGAAAGGCACTTCCGACGAACAAACATATCCCTCGACCTAAGCCGTAAGATCGTCTGCGAAGTGAGACTCAGTGATACATGTTCTTTTATCTCGATTTTCGTCCTTTATTTATTTATTTGAAGCTACTGCTCCATATTGCTTCAATATTCTCTGAAAAATACTTTTGCCATCGAAATTTATCGACAAAAGCATTTCTTGATCCCCCAAACTGCCGCAAAACTGTCAAAAGAACGGACCGCTCTTCTCGCTGCGGTGGAGTTTCCTTCGGTGGTAAATCTCCCTCGGCGAGGATTTCCAGCCACTTGTTGATTAGAACGTTTTTGTGTTTGCTGTTGTCTTTCATTTGCCTGTGAAACTGGTTGAGATTCACCGATAGTGACATCGTTTGACAGAATAAATAAAGCATCATAGTGCAGCATGAAATTTGCGATCATTCGTACTTGAAGTTGTGTTCCCTGGTAACCCTAAAATGCACCTTGACGTCATACTGGATGACGCCAACTGCGGACATCCAAGAGATATATGAAATATTTCCAACTCGAGTTTTCGCCTGGCTGTGCAATCCACGCGAAAGGCGCGCTGCGCGCGCGACTAGTTAGTAAATTTTAAAGAGCCTTGAACGACCCAAAAGATTCCGCTTGCGCAAC